TTCCATTTTATTCTGGTTGTCATTCCTTTTCATTTTCACATATTCAATTAGGTTGTTTACATCACTTCCGAATATGTATTGTTGTTTATGAAATGGATACAACTATAGTATTATCGTGAAATGAATATGAAAGAAAAATAACCTAAAAAAAATAGTGTTGTGTTTTTATATTAGTAAAAAAAATTTCCTTGTTTATGATCCAGAAAAAAGGAAGAATGGAGGTATTAAAAATAGTTAATATTTACATTAATTTTCCATTTTTTTGCCTTTTTTTTCTTAATTCTTGTTAAAACTTTTTTTGATCTAGTCATTTCTGATTCTTTAGAGAAAAAAGAAAAAAATTTTTTTCTCAAGTAATTTTATCGAATTTTTTCGGTAGCATTCGTTTTTCCGAGTTCATAATTTATCATTTTTCATTTTTTCTTACGAATGTTAATATTTTGAAAGTTTACTTCGTTAGTTTACAAACTTTTAGATTCATTTTGCAGTAAGGAAAATGATTAAAATGATAATAGCATATTGAAAATGAAAAGAAAAAAATTATACAATACGAGTTAATTTGTTAAAAATACTTCATTAACCAGCGGTGTTCAATTAATTAGTTAAATATATGAAATAATTAGCAGCAATTGATATTTGCTCATTGTGGCAGTTTCAAATACTAGAATTGTGATAAAGTCCACGAAAACAAATCATTAATTATTCATTCCATTTCTTTTCATTTTTTCATTTTCCCTTTCTTTACTACAGCATTAAATTTTCAATGCTTCTTTTTAGCTGTAAATTATTTAAAAGATATTAATCAACAACTAATATACTAATTGGTTTGCAAAAATTTTACTTACTTTTCTAATTTAAAAAAACGAAATACACTAATGATGTAAAAATGATGTATTCTAACTGACTAACAATTTTAAAAATCATAATCAAAATTTGTTGAAATACCTAATGTCTAATAGAACTATAAAACAACCTTGTTAACATTCATCGTTGTTATTGATGAATGTTAAGAAAATTAAAAACAAACAACTCAAAGAAATAAAATACATTTGTAATCATTATTTCATTAGTCATTTCTATTATTTCATCTGATGTACATTTTGAACAGAAATTTTTTCCTTCCATTTCACATCATTTTTTAATTAAAGTATACGAAAATAATCCAGTCATTGTTTTCATTATTAAAACTATTTCTTCTGGAATTTTGGAAAACATTTTAAATTATTTGTTTGCAACATTCATTTGTTGAAGCTTATTTGAAATGATGCAAATACATTTAAAAATTCCTTTTTCTTCTGTAGTTTTGAATGCTTAGTAATTATTCATGACAAATTAAATAGATATTTTGATTTAAAATATCTAAGAGCTCTTTTTTTAAAGAAAAAAGAGAATAGTTTGAAATATGGCTAAAATGAATAGGAAGAAATGAGAAAATTTATATGAAGAATTTTAAATAATGAGAATTTGAAATGGATTGATTAAGAGTAGCATTAAAAATGTAATTTAAAGTTTGAATAGTTATCTTGATTGCAGTTTCATATTTGGAGTTTTGGAGAGTTTAAAATGATATCTCTATATTCATTTAAAGAGTATTCATTGCTTACATTTCAATCGGAAATTATTTTTCGCCAAGAATTAGCAAAAAACGATTAAGTAGAATGAAAAAAGAATGTTGAAGAGAATGAGCAAAAGAAATTTGTTAGACGAAAGACGAAAACAAATGGATTACTTATACTTATTTATTTATTTACTTACTTAAGTCTTTTACTACTTATGTTTCATTCATTTATTTAATCAATACTTTATTTTGCATTGTTATGCAGATTCAGGTATATGTGAAATACATATTGTGTCCAATCTAGACAATATTCCCAGAAACATGCAGGCCGGAAATCAATGCATTTCGTTATGGTCATTTTCATCTTCCGTTTTTGCAATTTCCCAGCCTTTGCATTATAATTTCCGGAGCCATCGAAAATTGAAATGCCTGGCTGAGATAAGATGAAACTATATAAGCTCAGTATTTGTTCAAAAAATAAAATTTGATCAATGATTTATTACTTACGTATTTAAATATTGTTTACTCATTTATTTATTAATTTTAGGTGCAAAAATAGTCCACGTTAAAATAAAAAAATCCAGTTCCTTCCCAAATATTGCTGTTAGAAATTAAATATTGGTAATCAATGTGTTTTTTGTTTAATAAAGAATTGTTGAATAAATAAATGAAACACTTCATAAATTATGTTCTTATGTTATTGAAGATAATAAAACCATTTCTTATTTACTGCTAAAATTTTTTAATAATTAAAAGAAATTAATTGAAATCACCACACAAGCATTAGGAAATTCCCATCTATTCCTAATTAAAATGTTCATTCAGTTTCGTCCTAAATACAAAACAATTAATAAGCAACAAATTAGTCAGTAAAATTTTTCAATTTATTTGCTATTGTCTGTTTATTGTCTGTCGATTTTTTCGCTTTAGATTTTGGATGTTTTAATTAAATATAGCACCATTTTGATTTTCTTGCTGCTATTTTTGATCTGACCATTGCTATTATCGTTGTATGATCTTTTTAAATTATTAATTTTTCAGTTACGATGAAAAATTTTACATAAGAAATTGGTTAAATAATTTGCGAAAGAATAGTGGAAGCGTTATCGTTAGCTTCACTCACCAATTTCCTATTACAACAAAACAGAATGATAGAGAAATTAAAAGTTAAATCACTGAAATTAAACATTTGTAAGCAAATGCTCACCAATAGCTATATAATCATATCACATAGAAAAGTTTCATCTATCAACCAATTTAGTTACTTTTGCTATTTATCAAGAGAAATATAACATTTGTGGCGCAATAAGATGAGAGGAAAAGAAGAAGGATACAAATTAGAGACAGAACTAATAAATAAATTATTAACCAATCAGTAAATTAATTAGTGCTTATTTGTTATAGATAATTTATGTATCTAATAGGTACTGCTGGAATCTTACTTGTAGAATTTCATCTTTATTTAAATTTCTCCAGTTATACCTATTTTTGTTCCTTTCTAATCAGAAATATCACAATAAGATCAAATCAATTGTTGCCATTTCATTTTACAGCAAAATAAAGTACTACAATAAATTTTCAACTTGATTTGAATTATCGTCGCGCATTTGCCGTGTTTAGTTTATGCACTCAGCTATGAAATTATCCATAACCAATAAAAGAGATTTAATTTATCTATATAAACAAATTATTTTGGAAACATTGCTGGAAAACAGCAATGCGTTTTGGTATTATTTTTTGACAAAATTTTTGTTTCTTATTTTTCTTCATTTCTTACTTTTTTAGACCTCTATGTATAAATATTATGTAAATATGTTTAAATATTTGTCAAATCTTTATTTAGTTTACGTGGCAGAAATTTATATTAAAAGATGGACAAAGAAAGAAATTGATAAGGAAAACTTTTATCGTTTGATAATCATCATTTATCTTCGTTTTTCGATAAATCATAAAATAAATAATTTAATTTGAAACAAAAAAAGAGAAGCAGAAACGGTAAATGGAGGAAGGAAAGGAGAATTTTTTGAAAGTAATGCTCAGAAATGAGCGGTAATAACATTTAATTGCTCGTCTGCAAAGGAAGAAAGATAAAAATAATTGTAAAAATTTAAATCATGAATTGGGAAATATCGTCATCATGACCGATAATTAACCTGGTTACTCTTTCATAAAGGTAATACTTTAAATAATCAAATAATATTTTTCAGCATTAACTGTAACATAAAATACGATACACGATTTTTTTTCGTCACTTTTCCAAATTAGATCGATAATGTCATATTTCAGGATTATATGCAAAATATTAAACTATTTAATGTCATATTTAATTTGTTCGCTTTTTTTTTCTCCTATCTCAACTATTTTAATCTTTAAATTTCTAAAAAATGTAGAATTTCAAAAAAGAAAGTATAGTATTTCGTAGATCAATAAAATCACACTGAAATGTTACAATATACTCATTCTAGTATAGTCTCTACTCATTTTTCTCATAGAACAGGTGCCAGCATATGTTGCCTACCTACTACTTCATCTTACTTTTTTTCTTCACTTTTCATCTTACCTTTACTATTTTATCATTTAGTGAATGAAGTAGCGGAAAAGAATTAGTTATGTTGATATGTTCGAATTTAAAATTGAAAATAATCATGAACGAATAATTGAAAGAATTGCATTTTTCATATACAAATGTATGAAACTTACAGTTTCACCTGTCAGGTATGCAAATTATTTCATTGCTTTATTTTTTTTTTACTAAAAAATTTGTTGCACTTATTTACTACCTTTTTATGACCTCTCATCTTTAACTTTTATTTATTAGTAAACCTAATCGTTTTCATCATCTATTTTCTAATTAAAATAATGTACATTTATTCGCAAGATTTTCTTTATTATTTCTAAATTTCTTCAAGCAATGAAGACAAATGTTCGAATTAAATGATTAAATTTGACTTTTAATTTTTATATTTGTTTTAAATTTTACTAGGATTATGCAATAACTAAATTTGAAACTATTTAAAAAAAATTTTTTTTTCAAAATAATGTTATTTCAAAGTGCATTACTTTATTATAGTGATAACAGATTTTGTAACTCAAAGAAGTTTAACAACTTTGTCAGAAAGTAATCCTTTATTAGCTGGAAGAGTGAAATAATTGCAGATACTATCATAATTAATTCAATATTGTACATCAGATTTAGTATCTCAATAATGGAATTTGATTCTATCTAAAACTTTCGTTTTTTTTATTATTCGTTTTTTATTTAAGATTTAACTCCTTCAAAATTTCAAGATTTGAAAAATTATCCCATGATAACTTATGTTTGAAATAATAATATATAAACGGTGTTACAAAAGAATTTGTAATTTCGTTTTTTCTTTCAGAATAAATTATCAAAATCTTTACAATGGCCTTAAATTCACAAATTTTTTTCATATTAGTACATATGACAACGGTAATGTTACTTGCAATTGTTGGTAATATATTTCTTATTTTCATCATATTTCGTGGAAATGCTGTCGTGAAACGACGTATATCACCGGTTCAGGTAAGATCCTTTCATTTTTAAAAAATATCATTTTTTATTTTCATGAATTAAGGCAAGAATCTTTCCATCTTTGCAATTAATTGCAATCACATAAAATATGCATTAACGGATTTATTTCATTTTTATTTCAGACAATTAATTCCTTTTTTAAATGGGATACAAACTTATACCTTACTAGTTTACAACTTTCCTACACACTTTAATTTCGTCTAACTTTCAGAAAATGCTAGTAATTCATGTTGTAGTTTTTCTTTTCAGATAAAATAATTTTTGGGAAAACAAGGGAAAAAAAAGAAAAGTTGATTGCTTGTTTGCAAGAGCAATTTAAAGTTGCCTGCAAATTAAAATTACTGCAACATACATTCAGAACAAAATCAAATTTTCCACTCAATTATGGTTAAAGCATGAAAATTTGGAAAAATGTGCAAATTGAAAAAACAAAAAGACTTATTGAAACTGATTTCTATATGCATAATGAAATGCAAACATTTGTATCGATTAAGCTCAGAAATCAATTCAAAATAAATGATTCACTTAAATTTGATTTCTTAAAATCAATTAAAATTGATATACGAAAAAAATAACTGTTTAAATAACTGTTGATCCGAACTGTATCATTTAAATTACTTTCATTTTCAGTATTTTGCATTCTAATTTCCGTTTTTAATCTGTCAAATTGACTTTGGAAATTAAGAATTTTTACCTGAACAATGTAAATGAATAATTAAAAATGATGACATTCTTCACGTGCGTATCTATATGTAATAACTTCAATGTAAAATAAGAATGATCTTCACCTATGTATAAACGTATACGTGTACAAATCTTTTTTTGCTAACAGAAAATGAAAGTTGCTTTAAAATTTATCAAAAATGGAATGCAATTTTTTTTTTCTCTTTTGTTTTTTTATAATCCCTAAAATAAGTAGATTAAAAAAAAGTGCAAAGGAAAAGTAATCAAAATGTATGAATGTAATACTTTAAAATTTTAGAATAATAATTTTTGCAGCTTTTGCTATTGCATACATGTGCTGCAGATTTATTATTTGCATTATTATCATTGGGTACCGAAATAATTATTATTCTGAGACATCCCGTATTTGATGGACCAGCTTGGTTATGCCAATTAATTAGATATCTGCAGATGTTCCCAATGTATACTAGTTCATTTTTATTAGTTGCTATAAGTTTCGATCGTTTTCAGGTTTCTATAAATTTTTTATTTAATTAAAATTTTTCCAACTTAAATTAATTCAGTTTTAAATATTTTGAAGACAAATAAAATAATTCAAACTTGCTATTGTAGAAATGAATGAAAACAGTCGTTTCTTATGCTTTTCTATAATTATGTACTAATATTTTGAATGAAAAAAGTTGAAAAATTTCTTCATATTTGCTCAGTTCATAATTATTGATATTTTTGAATCAAGGAATTGAAAAAAATCAAAGACTAAAGGAAATAAAACCTCAAAACAATGTAACATAGCTAATTAGCTAACTAATAGTCTTCTACAATTTAACAAAAAATTAAATTTGATCTAAAGCGAACTTATAAGAAATTTCTGAAGTCAAATTTCTGACAACTCTTTCAGAAAACTGAAAAAAGCAAAACAAAAACAGTGAAGAAAGAAAAAGGAAAAGAAAACAGGATGAAATTAAATAAATTTGGTATGAGAAAAAAAACAAGGAAGAAAGATATTGCATTAAATGAAAAGGATCAAAATTGAGATAAGACAAATTCATTAAATCAAAATTAAATACAATTTTACCCCCTTTCAGGCTATATGTCGTCCATTACAGACTTATTGCAGTGATCGTTATCGAAGACCAAATTATTTTGCAATAATTGCATGGATTACAGCTTTAATATGTTCCACACCTCAACTATTTATTTGGCATAAAACGTACGTTCAAGTTTTATTTTGTATAACTTTGTTAAATTATTAGTGAAAAACTGTTACATACTAACGCTATTTTTTTTTTTTTATTATTTTTTTTTTTTTCAACATTTCTGCAAGAAAAAAAAATAAATAACTGAAATATTGTTTGAAAAAAAAGGACACAAAAAAGGAAAAAAAAAAGAGAAATGAAATTTTATATGGAACGAAAAAGAATTGTGAAAGTTTGAATAATATAATTTAACACTTTAGTATTTAACATTATTTTAAAATAGCATTATTTGTCATTTTGTGTTACATTTTATTATTCCAACTCATGCATTTCAATTATTTTGCTTTTTATTATCTGAAATAAATTTATTAATGCAAAGTATCAAAAATTATAATTATTAATGTGATCATAATTTTTTTTTTAATTTTTAATAATTTATTAAAGAAAAAAGAAGAAAATCTTTCGTTATAGAAAATATGGTGAATGTGCCACAATATATGGACATGGTGTGTCCCTTTTGAAAAGTATTTATGTGATTAGTTTTAATACCATTGCTTGGCTAATACCATCAATGCTAGCAGCATTTTTTTATTATCGAGTTTGTAAAACTATTTGGTTATCATATCGTAATCAACAATTACTATTACAAATGTCTGACTCATCACCTATAAATAATAGCTATAAAAAAAATCCAAGGTAAAATGGAACATTAATATTACATTTATTACTAAGTAATTATTCAATATGAATATATATTGAAAAAAAAAAAAAAGAAAATTATCAACTTGATAACTAAGACAATAATATTCTTAATAGCATTGATTTTTCTTTTAATATCAATTTTGATAGCAATAATAACATATCATAGTACAGGAAAAAAAAAAGAATATTAATCAAATATTTTTTTGGTTTTTAATTTGTTGCCATTCAGCCAGGGAAATAAGAAGAATTATTAATAAAGAAAAATGTAAATTATATTTAATACTCTAAAACTCAAAAATGAAATTAAAAGGCTTCTTTTTAATAATAACTGAATTAAATGTAATTATTATATTAAAAGTATCCTTCTATTTCAGTCAAGAAACGAGATCTTATGTTGTTAGGTTACACAATGATTCGAGGCATTGCCGTCGACAGCTGATGAAGTTCAATCGCGATCGATTTCAAACCATTTGCTTAACAATGACTATTATTTTTTGTAATTTTTTCCTATGGGCACCATTTTGTGTGGTCAATGTTTTGCAAGCCGTCGTACCTCACTTATTGAGTAATTTAAAATTTTTGTTTAATTTGGTTAAAACTAATTAATTTGCAACAATTTGCATTATTTAAATTATTGAAGTATACAAATGATAACGAGATAAATAGCATGACAAAAATTGGATTGGAATATATTTTTCGGAATGAATATAAATTGATATCTTGCAAGTGGATAGATCCTAATTAGTGATGGTTTGATTTTACCAAACTGAATGGAATAATAAATAGCGGTTACCAATTTGAGGAAGCATTTTCAGGAATTACATTTGAACATATTGCTTAATTCCGCAGTTTATGAAATTACAAATAAATGACCATAGATTATTGAATGATTTCTCAAAGACAATCTGAGCATTAATTTAGCATTATCGGCATTAATAAATGTAGTAGGAAATAATTTCATCCTTCCTAAAATGAATGATGTCAAATTGGAATTGAAATAATTCTGTTTGTGAAATTGGATCATTTACTTTTAACAGTTGTGAAATAGGCGTTATTATTATTATTATCATTACCATCACTACTAATATTCAAATCCAACATTGCTTTTTTAGCACATGTGTGTCAGCCAGTGCAATAATTTCAAATTGGAATTTGTTGGAAATTTAGCAAAATTTTTTCCATTTTTCTGTCACAATTTTTCAATGGTAGCAACAAAATCGCATGTTTTAAGCGATAACAATAAAGTTTCAAGAAAATGTTCAATAACATTAGTTATCAAAAAAAAAAAATTCTGTTTATTTCATTAATTACACCTTAATTTTTAATTCTAAATGCCTCTTTTTTCTTATAAAAACACACGTGAAATTTAACAATTTTAGTGCAATATTGAAAAATTAATGAGCAAAGGAGTAATAAATTATATGCATCTTTTTATTTTTATTTTTTATTTTTTTAGAAACAAGTATTTGGGTTAAAAAAGATGAAATTGCTTCATCATTTACTTTATAGTATTACAGGTTCACAACTAATCACTTATATAGTTATATTGGGCAATTTAAATTCATGCGTTAATCCATGGATTTACATAATATTCAATAGAAATCAAGTTAAAAAGGCATTCACATTTACAAATGGTAATTGATTTCTGCGTAATTATACAAATATAATTTCTAAGAATTTCTCAGGAAAAAAAATGGAGAAAATATTTTTCAAAAAACTTTTCCAATGATTTTGCAATAATGCAAATAAATTATTTTTACAAATAAAAATTAAGGGAGAATGGAAATTATTTTATCAGTGCACTTGAAAAGAAAAATACTTCTAACTAATTAAATTAATTTTTTACTTTCTTTTAAACACACTTTGCCATATGTTTGCTGTTGTAATTTAGCATTACAATTTTGACAAATAACAAAAATTTTTATTTACTAAACAGTAACGATTTTAATTTTTTTTTCCTTCTTTTATATTACAAATTTTTAACCTTTTTCTTTCAAAGTTTTCAAGTCATCAGTTCATACAGATTCATATTTATCGCAAAAAAAAGGAAGGAAAAAGGGTAAACGAATGTTTCATTTGAAAAAAAATTGATACTGAAAAGAAATATATAATTTATTAATACTAATTTAATGCTACTTAATATTCTATTATGTATTCAAGAACAGAACTTAAACTTACTTTTCTGTTCTTTTTCCTTGATTTTGATATTTTAGAAAAATTTGATTGCAGACATAAATGGAATGAAATGATGAAAATGGATGACAACCAATGAAGAATTATTTACAAAAGTTTCTTATCTTATAAATTTATTCACTCAAATTTTTACAAAAATATCATTTATGAAAATTTTGCATAAAAATTACTCTGAAAATAATATTTCAATTATCATCATAATGGTTAGTAAAATTTATAATCACTTCACATTTCAATTCTGCAAAATTTAGTATCACTAAATTGTAAGTTGGAGTATAATTATTTGTTGTATATTTTCAACTCCTATTTGAAACAAATGTTTGATTGATAATGTGTTGTATTATTATAAGTGGTGATATATTATGAGTAGAATATCTATCTATATGATACTAATTACGCTAACAGTTTCCGATTTGATTTGAATTCAAAAACTTCTCAGTTTAATTTCCTGTCTGATTCACGATGCATTCATGATTTACTCATTAACATATCTCCTAATTAATCGTATTTTTACACATACTAACAGTAATTTTCGATAAACTATTATACTTTCAATTATATACCTTGCAGTCTTTTTTTCGTTAAAAAGGTCTATTTTTTAAAATTCGAATCCTCTTATTTTTTTCTTTAGCATAAAGAATTAATTACGGGTTTTATTATCAAATGAACAGAAATTATTTTAAATGAGATATTATTTGTATGACCCCCATTGCCATTTTTGCAAAAAATTAATCTTAATACCTTACATTTTTCTTTCAATTAGTCTTTATGAAATGCTTATTATAAAGAAACGAATTTAAAATAGAATTTCGACTACGATTTTCCAAAAAAAAAGGTGAAACATTTGAAAAAATTACTTTTGAAAATATTGTTATAAAATTTTTATCTATTTTTTTCGTAATTTTTTTACAAGTGAAGCGATTTTGCTTACTTCAAAGTCGTTAATCTCATTAAACAAATTGATTGATTGATTCAGTTGACTGCATTAGACTGATTTATTATTTGAAAATACCTCAAATTATCAATCATAGATCACATCATCTTATCACTTCAGCATTACTATCACAAGCAACACATAAGTAGTTGCTATGAACTTGAATTATCTAACTAAATAAATAAGAAAAAGAGAAAATGCATATTGTTTTTTCAAGTTATTACTGTTTAACTTTGTACGATGGCATATGAATTATAGGGCAAAATGTTTCAAGCATTTAAAGTATACTAATTACTAAGAAAAAACTTTCTCCTCTTCCAAGTAAAATCTTTTCAAAATGTTTTTTACCTGCCTTTAAAACTTTTTATTCTTCTAAATGTATCATAGGATATACTTATTCGTTTGCATAAATAGATATACTTCCCTAAAACATAATCATAAATATCTATCACAGATAAACTGAAACTCAACTTCTTATCACATCCCCACTCGATTGCAAGATAACTATTTCAATCAATTTCTATTAAGAGTACTAGCATTGTAGACGATATTAACCACCTCCAATGTTTCAAGAAAACATATATTGATTGATATAATATCTGACCTACAAAATTTGATTAGAGAATATGCCTAAGCGATATGACGGTAAATAAATTATGGATTTAAATATGCAAACACATATTTATTTTTGACCAAGCGAAACACTTTCCGCCACAAAACTGTTCATCCAATATTGAGATCTCAAAATAATCATAATTATATGGTTGTAAAAGGCAATATTATGTCATGTTATCATGAGCAGAAAATCCTACCCTTCTAAATGAAATAGTCCTTCCTTTTTCTGATCATTTAGATTTACATTTCATCTGTTACTTCAAAATCGAATATATTCTGTATCAACTTTTTCTTATTGGAAATGAGTGAAAAATGACGCGCCTAACTGATTTAGCTTTGAACTTAAATTTAAGAGGCCAATTGCTATTTTTCTTCAATTTGCTAATGTACATTATTCTTATATGTTCTATTTCAAACGGCACATGCATCAATAACAATTCTAAACCATTAGTTCTATTCTGAATAAAAAGGTCATAAGAGGAAATCATTTTCAAATCATTCATGTTCAACTACAGCAAAGTAAAACAAATTTTACAAGCAGCACATAATTTGACAACAAATGTGATTCAGTGATAATAACGACCACTCTGTGCATCCCATACACATAAAACAGGAAATGAATACTCACCCGCTTCCTATTCACAACGATACAATGCCTTTAGTGTGTTTTGCAATTTGTGATATAAATTTCCACTATCATGTTCCCTTTCTATAATAAAAATTTAAATAATTCTTACAGCAAAGAGTGGAAAATCATCTTGAGTGCCACAAAAAAGACATTAAGAAACAACAGTTCCCTAATACGCTATCCTTAAAAAGAAATTTCAGCGAATACCACCAGTTTCTTCCCCAGAAATCAAATCAGTAAATTAAACAGCTTATTTCTGTGAAATTATTTAAAAAGAAACAGATGTTGAAGTTTCCATTAAGATTTTAACGGACCAGATCACAGCAGCTGCTACTTAACAAATTTCCCTTCTGATAACTAAAAACATGTCAAATTTTGGAAAAGAGATTGAATGAAAAATAATATGCATCGTCTCCAGCTAATGTACGATAGCGAAATCTATGCGAGATAATTATAGACATTCGAGTCATCCTTATCACGGCACATGTACTCACGTTCAATTAGACTTTCAATACGCTTCTTCAAATCCACCGGTTTTACAGGAAAACGAAGTTGATTAAACAGCTCTGAAATAAGCAACTGATGTGCAAGAGATTTTCGCGTTTTCATGATACGAACAACAGCAGCGTCAATTTGATATTGTCGATCTTGAAATATTTCCTCTTCTGTTTGAGCACGTTCCACAGCCTGAAACATGTATCATAACTAAGTATTGCAAAACGTTTCAGAAGGCAAAAATTTCGACTCTGACAGTGAAGATTTTCATGTTGGTATAGAATGCACGTGAAGTACTGATAAAAAAAGATCTGATGAAAAGACTAGAATACCAAAAATTAAATTGTAGATGTAAAAATTGTAACATTATGTATGAAAGTTTTCGTAGGAAGGGCCAGGAATAGAATCAAGTCATTTGATAGTCCAAAAAACCTTAAGATGGTCTTTACAATATTTTTAAGAATTTTTTAGAACTTAATGAATCGACTGAAATCAATTTGTGATCCCGACAGCAATGCTTTAATTTTTCCATTATTTAGATTTAAAAAACCCTTAAGATGGTCTTCGCATAAAACCTAATAAAACGTTTATTTGCGGAAACATTGAAAATTCTAGAAATAACCAACCGTTTCTTTCATCTGCACTTGACTTATACGAATTCTGTACAATTTTTCATTGCATTCCGGATTAAATACAAACTGATCATTATCTTTGATATCTTTGCCGCGCGGTATTTTCTTTAAAACTCGCAATTTCCCACAAGCCAAAGACTGCATTGTTCTTTCTAGTTCATTCTTTTCTTCAAATTCACTTCTTTATAAAGAATTCGACTTCAAACGTATACAAAAATCTCCGAAAGACTACAAACACATTAGAAACCACTTTAGCTGAGAGAATTTCGATTTCTTCACTATCAATTTGAACTGCACTACTTTCAACTTATTTTGTATTTCTTTTTTTTTTTTTTTTTTTTTTTTCTCAATCTGATATCTTTTTATTTTGCTTCGTTTCTTGTCCTTAATGAGAGGCAAAAAAGGGAAATCGTTGTAATAAACTGAAATACGAAAACATTACTTTAACTAAAAAAATAATTTGAATATACCAATTTTAGTTGCTAATTGAATTTCCTCAAATGTCCATTCTAATTTTTCATTGAATAGCAGAAGTACTAGCGCCTGGAACATTGTAACTTGCAATTCCTTCACTACCTAAAAGTCCATAAAATTTGGAGGACATCACCTACATACAGAAATATAACATAAATAATGCAACATAGACGTAAAAAAATATGTACATTCATTAAGCATATCACTTTTCAACAGCGCTATAAGTGCGCACTCGAATCGATCAAAGATATAACCATAAAAATCAGATAAATGATTACATTAAACTGAGCCCGTAATAATAAGTGAGCCAGACTATGTTGCCACTGCAGCTTGCGCCCATTGTGCTTTGAGAAATAGAACTGAAAATTTTCGATGCAATAATTATTATAAGAAATTACATAAAATCTGGAAATCCGGAAAAAAACATACATTTTGGAAATGTTCCTGATATTCAGCTAAATTTGGTGGTATTGCAACTTCCATATATTCATATGTTGGCCAGTGACCCATTGTTAATACATTAACGTTAAATTCGATCTGGTTTGTACTGTGTTTTAGAATTCGATCAGGATCACCATGTTCCATATACTGAAATAGCAGATAATTCAAATTCAACGTTAAAAAAGCAGCTCGAGATCAACTACTCCGAAAAGGAGTAAAATGCAGGAAACAGGAAATTCAATTGGTAGAGATAAAAAAGGTTAAATAAACTACAAGAGATATAATCGATTAAATAAAAACCTGTTTAAATGATAAACCAAGATCTTTAGAAACTTCCATATCTTTAAACATTCCCTCTAATCGTGTGGTAAACGCCGCACCACATTCTGTAGGTGAAAATTTCTGATAATTTTTATTGGAAATAACAGAAAGCAATAATTTAACAAGAAAATTTCATATAAATGATATGATTTCTCTAATACGAATAGCAATACCGGGTCAAAGTCGAAATAGAGGAACAGGGAGAAAGTAAAATTTTAAGATGTTAAAACTACGAAGCCAGAACTACGAAAGACGCTGCAATATTTGTTATAAGAACCAAGATAACACCTTGCTTCAACTTTGAAAGCATTGATTTTTCGGCATCAACGGATGCACTCCTTCCAAGTAATAATCTTTTTGCAAGATCCTTCTTATAAAAGGCCTCGAAAACATCTTTACCTGAAAGTAATGATCGATAAGAATGAAATATTAGAAGATCATTAAATAAAGTCGATGTTAAGAGAATTTATTCACTCCTAAATAAATAAATGAAGCAAAATAAAAATCCTTTTGCATTTTATGTACTTTTTTCTTACATCTCCATAAACAGTCACAAAACTCGATACTAAAAAACTTTTCTCATTTATGCTACGTGTACGAAGGCTCCAACTTCGGTTCTATTAGAAGCAAATTTATAATTCGACGTTAGTTAAATGACGCACAATCGAGAAAAAAGAAACACCATTGACTCTACAGGTTTTAGCAAAAATTCGAAAAATAAATACTTACCTTGTATGAATCTAAACAACACGATAACCTCATCCATAAGATTTTCCATTTCTTCCTCTGTAGCTCCTTTATTTCCAGATCGCAATTTACTATCCATAAATTTGGCTAAAATGCAAATAATTTTGTCTCATAGGAATTATAATTCCTTAGAAATGAGATCTTTCTCAATAAATCTATTCCAAAAATCGATAGTTGCTAAACAATGCGGAAACAAATACGGAGAGGAAAAACATAAAAAAAAAAAAGGAAAATAAAATCAATAATAGCTCAATCTACTAGATATTCCACATTAAGAACTTTTCATAATCCAGCGTAGACTTTTACAGTTAAGCTCTCCTGTTATTTTATACAGCATTTTATGAATTTTTATTTAGGGAATCGATAAGAAGCAAATGTGCGCTGCAAGTCTGACGCAAACCACCAGATTCCCAGAAGCATACAACACCAAATTAATAATAAATAATAAACCAATATAATCCACTTACCAACCAGTTCAGCTGGCTTATTTGGTCGAGTGTTAATGAAATAATCAAATGAATCTTTCTCCGCCTGAATAAATTTTTCGTTTCGTTCAAAACAACTGAAAATTTGTCGATTTTACATGCCAAAGGACGAAGAGTAATGCAAATACACGATAAAATAAAAACGTAATCAAATACACTATCGGTGATGCGGAAGCAATAATTGTTCAGCACTAAACTACCACCATATTCTATAAATCATGTGGAAGTAAGCCTAAACTAGGACTGTTGAGAAACATAACACCACGCCATATTCCTCAATGAACGACGGTATCTAGTTATTTCTCCAACAGATCGACAAGAATTGAACAAACAGATTTGGATAGTTCAATTCATCAAATTACAAAATCTCCACAACTCCATGAAGTTCAGTGAGAGGCTTCAAATTTTATTGGAACCCATAATAAGCCTATTGTTCTAGACTACCTAATTCAAGCAGAGGATAAAAACTGGTGCTGAAGTATCAAATCACCAGATATCACACTAGGAAAAGTAGAGAAATAGAAAACCTGTCTACAACGTTATCCAATTGCCTTTTCATAACCAACAAATCAGCCACTAATGTTTTATCTCTATTCACATCCATCACCAAAGCTTTACCAACTTTCTGAAATATTACGACTCAGCTTCTTGAACAAATGATGTCTGGGCACTCAGAGCTTTCTGCTAGTTTACTTATCCAAATAACCATGATTGGCCGATGAAATAAATAAGAAAATTTCTTTAACTTAGAACAATCGCTTTCAATGCCTTAATTTCCTTCTTTGCACTTAATTAGGTTCTACGTTATTAAGTGACAAATTATTTGCCACCAATCTCAACTACAGCAATTTAATGTCCCTGTTACGGGAGGCACAGACATAATCTCCTAAAATTAAGCTTAACTACTAATAACAAATGATTTTGAGCAATAAAGATTCATTCTTCTGTAAAGTAATGCTACTAAGAATCAAGAACAGAATTTCCCCACTATTTACCTTGACGTAAGAAGCAAACACGTTTTTTAAAATAATGAGTCCATGTTTTGTCCTTGACACCATGTTATACATTAAACTTAAATCATCGCATTTGTTTTCAAGCAGCATTTCATCTAGGCCTGAAAAAGTTATTTCGTAAGGAGCAAATTATTAAAATTATTAAAACTAAACAAATATATATCTGAATCAATGCTGCTTTCTCCATTTCCTTTAATTCTTGACGAAACTTTTTTCGTTACAAACAAAAACAAAGTACCAAAGTAATTTAATACACAGTGGTAACGATCCGAATAGAAAACGACTGAGTGAATAACTGAAATGATTTGAAGAGAATAGAATGAAACGCTGAAATAAATAGCTAGCTAAACAAAATTCAAAGGCAAAATCACCTTTATTTATAAATGATTCCATATGATCAGAAATCAAGCATCTTTCTGTAACTGCTAACAGTGGTTTTCTTGTTGTAAAATCCAAATAATAATCAACGCGATTTGTCTCTTCTTCTAAACGCTTCTTTACATGCCTTAGGTAGACAGGCACCTAAATTATTTTCTCTCTAAAAAACAACTAGAAATCAAGAATAAAACAATATAAAAATTTACACAATACCATAATACTGCAAAGTATAAAAAAAAAAAAACAATATTATACCTCAAGACTCTGCGACAGATGACGTCCTTCCGCTTCATATAAAGTACATGTAGTTTCAAGAAACTTTCTTTCAAATACCTCAAATATTTGAATCTGCATATTATATACTGGAATCTATATACAATATATATTTATTCATTTTTTTTTAAAAAAAAAAAAGATAAATAACTTTGCTTGTTGTGATTTCATTTTCTTAAACTATATTATTATCTAGAAAACGTAACCTGAAATTAAGTAAAGGAATCTGAAATTTGTTTAGATTTAATCGAATGCAACTGTATAATTTGAAGGAATGAAATAACAATACATTAAGCAATAATAAATGATGGGGAACACATTTTTAGAAAAAAGAGACATAGATTCTGGTATTTAATCAATAGCGAAATGGAAAAGAAATTGTTCCACATCTTTTCTTTTTGAACATCAGAAGCATTCGAAGATCAAATCAATCGAAAATATCTATTCCACATGTTATAATCGTAAATGATCTTGATAGCGTATCAGTCTATCGAAACAGGCTTTGAAGCTTATTGTGAAACTATTTTGAGCCTATACACTCATTAAACTGCCCGTAATTTTAGATATTTATTCAGAAAAACTCGAAGTTCACCTCAGCATAAACGCGAAGGCTTGTCATCATACGCAATAGTGATTTAATTAACAGCCGATCAATCTACAAAAGAGATTATCATCAGCGCTTTCAGATTATGTTAGCATAGAAATCTGGCAAATAAGATAAACCATGACATGATCTAATGTTAATCACAAATATGCATTTGTCAGCTCATCATGCAAAAATTTATATCTGCTTTATCAGCATTTCATTTTTTTTAGAATGCTCTTCTGAATAAGCACTAGTGAAAAGACCACATGAGTTTGACAAAGTGGATGCACCATCATTCACTATTTAACTAATAAGTTATGAGCAAACACGAATTAAGAAGCTAAATGTTGAAACATAATCACAAAACTAATTTCAAATTTTCCAGTCACCACTTAGTTCCATTCAAATCATTAATCAATCTTTAAAATTTGAAACCCTTTTATTTCATCTTTGAAATGAAATACCATAAGAAGAATCCAATTCCATCCCCCATATACTCGTCAGCTATATTAAATAAGACAAACTCACGTGTCCGCCTTCTCTTTCTTGTTCAATCATCTTCAAAAGTCCATCAACTGAACGTTTTCTTACACTCTCATTATTCATAACTTCGTCACGGAAAATTTCCAATCCCATATCCCTGAGAAAAAAAAAGAAGCAAATAGTATCATAGTCAGAATTTATAATGTCATTCTGTAAATAATATCATCCCATAAACGATTGATTCTGAGAATTTCAAAACCATAACAAATTCTAATTTCAGTATTATATGATGTAAGAGGCAATAACATGATATATATTAAGCAAAAAATACTAGTCATCCGTTTTACCAAAACAGAGAACATGTTGTATTATAGGACGTGCACTATAATCCACATGTGCAATAAACCGAGCTCGCAAAGAAGGTGTAATATCATTGCATGTAGTGAATCTTATGAAACAAACTAGCTAACATTTAAATGATAAAAACTAGAGCAATCTTGCTGTTCAAACTTTTGATAAAGTCTGACACTTCTTTGGTTGCAATCTATCAAGTAAAAAAGAGACCAACAATGAAAATATGAACTTACCACAAGGAAATAACAGTGGGATTATGCAAAACGAATGTGCGATCTAGATAAAGAAAAACACTGCGGATATTAATCTGAAATAAATAAATACATGTATTTAATCATTTAATTACTTAAAGATGGCTCACGTCAGAAAACGCCGTATGAATCGTTACATTTTTTCAAGTTTGGAACCAGCACAATAATAAGTAATGGAGAATACAAATACTGTATCATACGAAATAAAAAATGTTTGAGTAATCATTAGAAATACTAAAAAACATTTCAAAGTATGCCCTGAACAGCTAGTCGATCAATCTCATTTTAAACTCTAAATAGCCAAATAACTCACCAATTGTTCACAATATTCAAGCCAAAGAACATTAAGATTGTGAAGGAATAAAGATGTGGAATCAGAAACATCCAACAAAATGTGAAGTTCTTTTACGATGTATGAGAAAATGCACGTTTTTAACTTCTTATATATATTCACCGCTGCATTATTTGTGCATAAAAACTCGACAATCTGAAAATTTACAGCAAAGTTGACATTCTTTAAATGCAATAGCTGGATTTATATGAAACCGATCAATTAGCAATGCTCAGATATTAGGAAAGCAGACCCATGAATTTACGAATTCACCATTACCCACCTCATATAACTGCTCCAAAGATGTTTCTGCTTTCTTTTTTTTCTGTATTGAAACGACAGCTTCTTCCAATGGATGCCATTTCATTTCAAACGGATCGCTCTCCTTACATAATAGACGATCTGAAAGCAAAAAAGAAATCTAAATTAAATAAAAAACCTTGAAAGAACAGAAAGATACAAGCGATATCTGTATTTTGCTGCTAATTATTTATGCATGCCTTGGTACGGTTCAGCAAATGTTAGCTAAATGAAGTAATTACAAACATTAATTTTTCCTGACAAGAAAAGTAAAAGTTTTAATATCACATTATGCAAGTTTTTCAAGAAGCAGAAACGGTCAGCAAATCATTGTCATTTAATAAATTTTGCATTTTATAAGGACTCATAAACTAACGTTTGAAACCATGTATGACTAATTTTCTGGCACTAGTCGGTTGTGTGATGTCACTTACAACAGAATGACCATTTTTGTGAGGTACGCTAATACGATGCTGTCCACTCTTCTCCCGTGCCGTTGATGGACCAGCAACAAATGTCGCTGGTGATGTGAATCGTACCGTATTCTTTCCCGAACGGTGGTTCGAGGTTGAAAAATTGGACGGCTGTGAGGAATTCAAGGTGCTTGTAGTATCGCTGTCGCTACTTTCTTGTGTAACCGTTTCATCCATAGCTACTACCGATGTTGTTGTTGCTCCTTTTCCTAGCTCGGTCTTCAGACCCGCCCTTGTCGACGAAGATAAACTGCTGCGATGACGTTTTGATTCCGGTGGCTATGAATAACAAAGTTTCACTTTAAATTAGTCCATTAGTATTGTTCTTTAATCTATAGTAGTTATGTGACTTCCAGAGATAACTTTCCACCCACTCATTACTTACCCTTATTGACAAGAAAATATTTTGGTAATGTTGGGATATCTTAAGATAACTTAATGCTCCAAAATATACCATTTTAATGACAGTAGTTATGATATTAAATACAACTTCCAAAACAGTCAAGGGAAGAAGAATGAATATTCCTAATTATACTGCTTAAAGTAAATTCGTTTCTGGTATCCATGAACAGTAATTCATATCCACCAAACAGAGGTTGAACAATTATTTCATTCGAGATGGAGAAAGATGGTAAAATACAAAATCTTCCTTCTTTTTCCCTCTTTATCAAAATATCGAGCAAAATCTAAATGCTGAAAACTAAAATAATGCAGAAATTCATAAACAAAGAGAGAAGAAACAGGATAAACCTTGAATTCGTCCAAATTTTTGGGTTCGGCAAGCAGTGAAGAGGAAGTTTTCCTTATCGCCTCTTTTCCTGAAAATTTCAGACCCATTTTTTTTTAAATCGGAAATGCTAGAAGTATCGAATTTTTCTATAAATTCCTATATCATTAAATGCCATGACTGATATTCAGTGTTAAGCATTTATAATAGCAAAATTGATCATGATCACTCACAAGACGAGTGTTTTTCATTAACCACTCTGAATAACTACTGATCTATCCACTTCTGATGATAGTAAATGCCAATTTCAATACTATCATCACTACTAGGAAAATTCGCTGCTGAATGTGGAAAGTAGCACAGCAGATAAAAATTATCAAGCAATGTTTAAAATATTCTGCAAGTGATACGGTATGGTAGATTTTCCGTATTTAGTTTTATAAACTATGGAAAATTTTATTTAATGCCAGATATTTATTATGCTCAAGTCATCGAACTCCACACTTCATACAAGATAACGAATAAAACTTACTATCTGCCGATGAGTGTTGTGTTTCCGCTCCCGGAATAAAAGAATTAACCGGAACCGAAGACGATGACATATAAACAAAGCGCCTTCACCTAAGCGCAGAAATTGTTAATCTGCAATACTTACAGAATGTTGCCAACGAAATCCTGCAAAAAAACTACAAAGCAGTAATTTAACAAAATTTAAACCCATAACTAGATTTTTTTCAAGCCATTTCAAATTATTAAGAAATTTCCACATGAAAATGGTGCTGGAATTAAATTCAAATTAAATAAGTTAACTTTACGATTAACTGCTATGTATAACTTTTCAAACAGAAAAAAGTTCACGTAACATTATTAAGTCCTTTGTAACAACCACTTTATTATGTTTTAGATAGCAGTGCGTTCTTTTCTCATTAGAACACTTCCAGAGATACTATTTGGAGAGACACAACTACTAAAATAACATTTGGCTGTAAACTAGGTTATTCAGTGAAAAATATTAAATTACACCATAACTACCTCAAGTTAAATTTATCAAGAGAGGCTATGTCATGGTGACTGTATAACTGACAAGCAGAGAAGGAGGCCAGAGTCCTTAATCATCAAGCAATGCGATAATTTCAGCACTGCGAATGAACAATCATAATCAGTTTGACGGACTAGTACCGCGTATGGACATAATCATAAAGAATCTACCGACAAATCAGTATGTAATCCTTTCTACTAAACCTACTGATTAAATTCGACTGTGAAGTTTATCATCGGGAAATTCGTTTAAGATGTAAAGACCTGAATTTCAAAAGATCTCTCAGCAGCTGTTCTATTCTTCCGTGAATCTTTGATACTTTCCAGAATTAGAAAACAAACAGAAAACCACCCCACCTCCCCACTTCTCACGTTTTACCCCACCTCACTTCTCGTCACACCGGACGTAACGGACCGCAGGCCGCAATATCAGTCGGAAAAGAAAAGTATCGGCTCAGACGTAACTTTTCTTCGCCGTCTAGGTCCTTAACCTTTTCTCTTCCTCACCCTCTCCATCTCCACATCTTCCTCTCCTTCTCTCCCATTGATTCTTATTCTCAATAAGCTTGCGGCTACTTAGCTGAAATATGATTTGTCGCAATATTTTATTTTTGTGAAGAGTCTTTCCCGTCCCATATATATGGACATCCGTGTGTTTACGTGGTTCTTGTTTGCACTTACCTTAACTAACTCGGAAATATATTTTTTTCATGCTGCACACATTTTACAAGTGTATTAAGTGACTATGATGAAAGCGCTAGTATTGTCACAGTTGACACTCACTTCATTAGACCACACCCGACAAGCTGTATAAGTTTTCCAATACATCATCGAGTGATGTATGAGATGTGTGCGTGCGTCCATGTAGGTCACTATGCAAGTGCATATTTTGCTCGATTCTTCTGGAATGGATATTTCACTTCTGTGCTTTTACCATTTTGATGAAATTTAAGTTTAAACATTTTTAAAATCAACTTTTTCAGATTAGTATTTAGAGAGATTTCATCTGATTAACTCTGTACTGCGAAGTACCAAACAGATGGCAACAGCTGGATTAGAAGGTATATATTATATTCGGTTCTATTTTTGTCTTCAAAGTTTCTCATAAATTTTCAAAATTTGTTGACTTGATTATTTTGTTGACTGATTTTGAAATTATGTTTGATCCTTGGCGTTACGTAAAGAATATTCTTGCTGTAATTTCATTCATTGTCTTCTGAAATATATCTAAATTGTAACTGGTGAGCAAAAAATGAAGAGTAAAAAAGTATTGGTGGTGATAAAAAAATCCGGAGAACTGTTTCATCATTTTTGGAATTGGAAGTATGCTGTCCTTAAGAAATGATCTATTTTTTCCAGCTCAGTATTGAAACTAATGACATTTTGAATGAAGCATTTTGTAAAAATGAATTGGCTATTAATTAATTGAATTAATTCAATAAAGTTGTTAATTAACTCAGAACCATTTGTATAATTTTACTTGTGGAAAGATCAAGTTGACTGATAAGATCTGCCGCAGTGTTTGGTTTTTTGTTGCTTTATATCAGTGCTGTTAAGAAATTCAGTGAAGTGTGGCTATTATTAATAGCACAGCTTAATGTTGTGTAGATTAAGCAATCATTGGCATCCCGGAAAAAGTTCGCTATACCACTCGTCCAAGCCTTTATCTTATTTCACATGACTCACATGACGTTCCATTCAAAGATCGATATCAAAATATAGCAAAGTAAATGATGAATAAAAAGCAAATAATCGATAAAATCTGGTGAAATATTAGAGTATTGATAAATTGAGCTTTTCTTCACATTATAAAATGAAATTTGCTAACTTATTTACTATTTATTATTTGTTCTTATTGCGTTGTCATCATGATTGTGTGCATATCGCTTATTGTGCCATTATATTCTTTTTATGTAACAACGTTGCTAAATTGTGAGTTTTAATTATGTTTTTTTGTATTTCGTAGCATTTCGTAGCAAGCAAGTTACGTAAGAAGTCATTTGATGAGATTATATACATAATCAAAAAGGTGGCCAGTTACTACAAAAAATTATGAGATATTTAGAGGTTAACAGGGATCGGTAAGGATCAGTGGAAGAGTTAATTAGTGACACTAATTTATTGCTCAGTTATATTTTTGGGTTTCAATGAACAGAGTAAGATGACATGTGTACTTATATATTGAATATATTTTTAAATTAGAGGTAAGGTCGGGTGAAAAAATGAACTTTTTATTTGCTAGATATTGTACTAATGGAGTGTCAGGAATTGTGATGTTCAGCATGTATATACAGATCTTCGTTCACGAAATCAAGCTTTATTACAATCTAATATCGATCTGAGATTGTAAGAAAAGCTTAATCTGTTTAGCTATATTGTTATTTGAAGATTTCTAGCTTATTTTACAATTTCCTCGTTTTCTTTTCATGTGCAGACCACTTTATCTGCTTCTTTTCTTGCCGCTCTGTTTTCTCGTTCTCTCTTTTCCAACTTTTCTACCTTTTTCGGTGAAACATTTTGTGGCGAAATGGTAGAATAAATTAAGCAGTAATTTTAGTTTTAGATAGAGGAGAGCAGTGGCACCAGCTGCCAGATTATTATTGCGTTTACTTCATTTATTTATAGCTTTAATTGGCCAGCAATTAGTTGTACTGTTTTTTGTATATCTGGCGTCTTTCGGGAGTATTTCTCGTTCAGTTCTAATACTTTTAACTGTTATCACTACACTGTGATGGCACATTCGTTTTTGCATGGTGGTTTCATTGAAAGCTGAACATATTGGATGGTGAGGAAATCTTTTCAAGATGTGAGTATATGCATGAATAAAAGCAAAAGTGGTGTGACGTAGAGATGAAGAAGGAAAAGGAAGAAGTGAAAGGTACGTGGAATGATAAGTCATTCTTACAATGATAATGATTAAATTTGATTTATATTATTTGATCGTTATACCTATCCTACCAGTTCATTGTAAAGCATTTTGTTTTGTAGACACGTATGTATATGTAGAATGAGGGCCGCTGATAGGAGAAAGAAGATGCGGGGGCGGTGGAATTGTCGTACACTTCTCTTAGATTCTTTCAGGTTTTTAATATATTTAAGAAGGTGTACATATGAACATATTCCATAGGAAATTTGTACTTTACAATTTTAGCACTGTGTGAGATACTGATGCTTGTATGCAGCGCATTTAACTTCTTCATCCGTCTATTAGTGATTTGTTGCTCTGTATTTCTTATCTGTGGGAAACGTTTTTTTAAACATGGAAATTATTAATAATTTCATGGAGGTATTTTCATGGTTATTAACTAGTTAAAAAATTATTGTTATTAACTACTTGTTTTTATTTTAATTATTAATTAGTTTCTGACAGAAAATGATTAGCCAGTTGTTTTTAATAAAATAGATTAGGAAGAGCTTAAAACGTGGTCGTACTGGTGCTTTAGGAACTTCTATTTACATAATACCCAAGTATTTTATCGCTTGTTGATCAGCAAAGATTGTGTGATTAAGACTGTTCCAAAATTAACTACTTAAATGGGATGGGATGATTTCAGTTGGTCGTGATTGCTCTTTTTCTCCAGAGTCTCGAAAGCTTTATTGAATTTTAATTCATAAAATGACGGAGTCCTGAGTAATAAGATGATTGTTTGGTCGTAATTAGTCATTGACTTCGATCCAAGAAATTGCATTATTCATTATTAGTCATGGCTGCATTCTTCGTCTCATACATGTTATTATTGCAAAATAAAATAACAAAGGATGGACAATGCTATGATTTGCAAATCGATTATTATATGCCAGGAAATTTTTTTTTTTCAGCACAAAAATTTTTTTCTATATGCTGCTCTAACTGATATTAATGAGATTACTTGTGATAACTCCGCAAAGAAATTTATCTTCGGATGGTTAGTTTTAGAAGACGAGATTACTGGGATTTTTAACTCTGGAGGATAACATCTATCGGAATTGTGAAAAAAGCTCATGGTTAATCATTTCGATTTTGATATATTTAACCTACTATCATGCGCTGGCTGTTTCAAATTCTTATTCTGGTTCTAATAGCAAAGTCGTGGTGAAAACTGATAATACCCAGCGCTATTTTCTAGCATTCTATCCATTCACTTAGTTGCAGTTATTGGTAGTGTCAGTTTTTTTTTTTTTTTTTGTCCAGAATCTGAAGTGTTTCCTTTGTTGATATAGAGTTTCTAGGAATATGTGCGCAATCCCTATGAATTATTTAATTCGAAGTATGGCATTAGTGTAGAGGAGAAAGAAAATTCATTCAGTTTACCTGCCGGAAACTAATATCGTGCTATTGCCAATTTTGATCGTCTTGAAAAAACGAGTTGTTTTTGTTGTCCATAGTTTGTTTTTATTAAATACATTCAGTTCGTAACATTGTTTGCTAAGTGGATCAGGTAATGCCTCCCAAGAGACCACCTCCTCCTCAGGAACTGTTCACAGACCGAAAATCTAAAGGAAACACAGTAATTCCCCAAGAATTATCTTTGGGAAGAAAGAGAGATACCAGAATGCAAGATGCTATGGATAGATTTGCCGATGAACTGAACAAATTATCGGATGACGAGGAGAACATCGAAGGTCGGTGGTCAAAATTAACCGTCGTAAATGCTAGTGTTTTCATGAATCAGTACCTACAGTTGTCCAGGTCTTACATCTTTCTAAATCTATTTTAGACAGTCTTAACTTTTATTGGTCAAAAAATTATGTAATATGTGTTCTGTTACATTCCCAATTTAATCTGTTTAATTTGTATTATGATTGTTGTCACTGAACATTTAAAATTCATTGTTGTTAATGATTTGAACTAAGTCACAGAGAATACAAAGGGTAGAAAAAACATTATGAAATTGTTGTTTGTTGATTTCATTGTATTCCACTATTCTTTATTAACTTGGTTTTTTATTTCTGAATGATTTGAAGATATACGAGTGTTAGCAAATTCGTTTAATGTTATCTTAATGAATAGTGTCTTGTATAATGAAATTAGCTTCTTTTTCCATGAGATGATTTCAAAATTCTCCTATCAGTATATGTCCTGAGAGTATTTAATTACTTAAAGCGGTGCGACAATATATTAGTCACAGTTATTTGACCTGTTGTAATTTGCAACAAATTCATAGCCTAAATTATTTAGTATTCCTATCATGTTATTGGTATATTTTTCTTAATATTTTTGTTTTATTTAACAAGCATATAATTTTTCAGCTGGTGATGAACATTTCATTAATGGTACTCCAGCTGAACTTAGTGAAGTTGAAAAGGAATTGATTAGAGAAGAACTAAAAAAGGTATGTTTCTTTTCATAATTCGCTGATGTTATTGAAATTCGGTTCATCATGTTAGCTCTTTACTGTCATTTTAGGCTAGAGGTGCCAGTAATTTCAACAATGCAGTTCAAATGAATTAAGTTATGAGAAGTTTACAGTCTTAAACTTCCCATTTGTGACATGATATTGAGGTTGATACCAGTGTCTAACATATAATTTATCTTCTTTTATGAAATATAATTTATAAAGTCTTTAGATGTTTTTTTTTTTTTTTCAGCTCCTTAGTTTATCCACTCCCTGAGTTTGTTCTGAATTGTAATATTTTTTCAAATATTTATGGAATTAAAAGATTTCAGACTGAAGAAGAAATCAATACATTACGTCAAGTACTGGTTGCACGCCAAAAACATGCGAGTGATTTGAAACGAAAACTGGGCATTTCACCATTTACTGAATTTACTGCTGATATCAATCACTCGTTGCAGCATGTTAGAGAATCGCAAGCGTAAATGTTTTGTTTGAATGAAAGATTTCTGAATTTTTCAGCAGATTAAATCCAAAAGTAATGTGCTTGTAACTGCTGTAATTGAGATAGTATAGTAACGCTTATTGTGGCTTTTACCATTAAACTGTATTTTACTTTTCCTACGTCCTCGTCATTATCGTGCTATATGATTTTTTGAATGGTGCAACTTGAGCAGTCATTTAGTGGTTTAGGTATTTCTTTTAATTAGTGTTAAATCTACACATAATGGTTAGTCTAAATTCTTTTCAATTATTTAGAGCAAGATTTGTGTGAAGTTTAAAAGATATGCATGTAGTGTCATGTGGATAATTTCTATTTCAGGTACCAAAAGACGTCGGAAGTAGTCACAGGTACAGCGGATACTGTAAAAAATAAATGGAACGATATGCGTAATTCATCACTGTTCAAATCATTTGAATCTAAGCTAGGAACAGCATACACGAATGTAAGATATTCCTCTCATACATCATAATGTAAGATATTCTCATATATGGACTTTCTTTCCTTCAAGTTTTGAGCAGCAGGCTTTAACGTAACTTCTGGCCATATGTTGGTTTTTTAAAAGTTTTTAAGCTTGTGGTATATATGTCTCTTCCATTTCAAGTTAAAGGTTTAAGATTTTTTGACATTGACTCAAGTACTCTCTAATTTGAATTCAACTCTAGTCAGACTTTAACCTCTCATTTCCTTTAAATTAAACCACTGTTTATCCTTTGTATTTTGCTTCACAACATCTCAGAGTTGCAATAGTAATGGAAATGGATAGAAAATGGTAAGATTTATTGGAAGCATTAATTTTATGTCAGTTTGTGTTTTTGCTCATATTGCTTGATTTTCGTTTTGCTTTAGCTTGGAGAATTTTTCTTCAATCGTGAAAATAGAAGTAGGAAACTTTTATTTCTGAAGTTTGTATCAAATTTGATCGGGAAAGAGAAAAAGGGATGAGAAATGTTTGTGTTATAAAGCTATTCTAGTTTCACTGTTCTGCTTTTTTTATTTGCAACTACTCCTTTGAGTATCCATACCTTTGTAACTATATGTAAAAACTGTTGTGTGTAAATGCAAATTAAAATGTAAAAAAAAAAGCCAGAATATAGGATGGGGCAGTCTTCAAATGATTAATAACTTATACTGTTTATTTATTATTATTATCTATTATATTCTTCAGATGATGGATAATATCTCAGTAGTAATGCATTAGAAACGGAAAAGTTGTGACTTGACTGTTTGAATTGTTTGGTTGTAGTTATTTGTGATTATTTTTATCAAAGTTTTAGGCCAAAATTGCGGCGTCTACAAGCATTGACCAGATTTCGGGAATGGCAAAGTCATCATCTGGGGCATCTAGCCAAACTGATCCTACATCACCATCAAATGATAAAGTGCAACTGTAATGTTCAGGTTTGTTTTGTACTTCATTTTTTTTTTTTCTGTTAAGTTTTCGACTTGAAAAATACAATTGAATTGAAAAAATTACAATACTATTCTCTATTTTAAATGAGAATTTGAATTTGCTAAAATATTGCTCATGTTCCGTTTCGCGGTCATAGCATTATGTGGTTCTTGGGGAATTGAAATATTTAGTATATCCAACAGGATAGGAAGCGAATATCATTATTTTTGCCTAAGCAGGGAGTGTTTTATATGCAGTGTTAATCCATTCTTATTGTACTTGCATAAAGACAGTCAAAAATCACTTCATCATGGAGGATTAAATTACTTCTGGTCTTAAATAAAGTTTTATTGTTTTGGTTTTTTGTTTTCTTTTTCAGGATTTCCTGGCTCTGTCACATATATTTAGATATCGCTGGTCTTCCGTCAGAAAGAGCAATTTCAATAAAGAATAATTTCCATAACAAACAGTTTTATCTTTCTTGGTACCAATATCTCATACTTTATGCTATTCATCAATCATTCTTTCTATTCTCCCCGTCATTTCCTCTGTAACGTTCCGTAACTATGTTTTATTTCATTTTCAAAAATGTATTTTCAATTGTGCCCCATCTCTTTTGTTCAGTCTTTTTTTCTTTCTCTTATATGACAAATGGAAATTTCCGTTTCTTAAATTTATTGCTTTCAGTCTTTTTAAAGATTAATTTTTGATTTGGGAATGTGGTGTTATAGCAGGTATCAACTAGTGGAACTTTGGATTAATAATCAAACGTTAGTGGATTATGAGTATCTGGCATAGAGAAAGCGATTTTATGTTTTAAATTATTTCATTTCAATAATAGAATATGTGATTTAGAAGGGGATATTTCCATATTTTTTTGGTTAGAAAAATTATCTGATCAAGTCTCTAAGAACGAATTGAGATCCACATGGTAATGTTGTCTGTTACATTTTCTTCGATAAGGCTTCTTGCCCACGGTTAGCCAAAGATATACGTAGACAAGCAACAAGTTGTACCGTATTCTTTTTTTTTTTTTTTTTTTTTTTTGTTTTAGGGCTAACTATTCTGACATAATGTGGTTAAGTGAAGCAAGCCATTTACAAAATTCAGGAAAAGTTGTACGCAAAATTCCTACAGAGTTATTTGAAACACAGGCTAAGGTGTTTTTAAATTTAAATGATAATAATAAAGGTTAACATTTATGCACAGCTAAGAGTTCTCGTAAATTTACTTGTGGTTATGAAAATAAGATATAAGGTTATTAATTGTGCCATGAAAGAGAAAAAAGAAAACTTCATTTCGAACATAAGTAAAACTGAAGGGAAAAAGTAACTTTTAATGGATAAACTAATTCACTTCGTGTTATAACTTTTCAATAGTTCTGTAAAATTCCCCGTACGATCCCTTGAATTTTTTATATTTCAAAGAAAAGAGTAGCTTCCGTATAAACATTTTATCCCACAAGGAGCTATAGCATCATTCCATGGAAATTTTGCTACACGTGAACCTTTCTCTTCTTTTCGTAGAAGGATACTTATTCACAAATTTTGTTTTATACATATTTGAATGTTATATTAACGCTTTAGTAGAATACTGTACTGTTTGTATGGATTATTTTTTCCTTTTCCTTTGAAGTTAAATAATAATGGTGAAGGTTAGCATTTGTTTACAGCTTACTCATCGTTCACTGTGGCAATTCTTTCAATGAATACTAGACAAAAATTTACCTATGAATGTGACAATTTCGGGACAGATAAAAATTTGGTGTATTTGGAATTATGGTTATTTGAGATTTGGAAGAGAAGCATTCAAATTTTTATCTTATAAATAGCATAGTTTGTTCAATGAAGCCTAACTTATTATTAATTAGATTGAGTTGAAGACGGTGAAGTCGGGTGGTGAAGTTTAAGATAATAATTGAAGAGAACTTTTGGGGTTTATCCCAATAATTCTGTCCGAAAAATGAAAATTAGAATTTTTTTGTCCTATTATAGCTGAAATGATAACCAAGCGGAGGAAATTTATTGTTGTTGAGGTACAGTGGTTGAAGCACTATGTAATGTAGGGATTTTCGTGTAAATGATTTCTGTTGTTTTCAGAATTATTCCTGAAAACAGTATTTGACCCTTAGACCTTTCTTAAGGTCTCGAAATAGACAAAGTTCCTGTGTAGGATATTATTTTTCCACGAAGTATCATATATTATCTTGAATTCAAAATAAAATTTTGTCTTGAAAAAAATACTAGGTGAAAAAATTTTAGAATGTTGTAATTGTAAAATTATTGCAAATATATTTCAGTAAAGTTTCTCAGAGTTTTTCATATAAATACTAGCTTGCTTCAGATTTCATACTTTCATCACGTGGTAATACGTCTGGTAAAATTAGCTAATAAATTTACTATTATACTACAAAAATCCTTACTAACCTATCGATAATTTAATTCAAAAATGCTTATTTCATCTCTTCATTGTTGCTATTTTTTCAGTTTCCGCCGATTTACCAACTTTTCGAATCTTATTGTGAAAGTCAAAACCTGGTTCTGGCTTAAACTTGCAGTAAATAACTGAAGCAATCTGAATGGTGTGCATCTAAACGCTGCTTAAAAATAGCAAATGATTTAACGATAAGCATTGCACTAAGTTTATCTGGTTAGAGCAATATCAAATTTATTCAAAATTTTCATTTTCATTAATGTGAAAGAATTAATTTAAAATTGACTTATAATATGTTCAAATGGACATGTAGATATATTTAAATGATAAAAATTGTTTCGTAATTCTGTATTACAATAATTAAGCTGACGTTAACAGCAATGATAAAAACAACGACAACATGTAGAGGTAGTTGTCTCCAACAGTGGTCAACTGACAAGACTTCAAGCATAAACAATAATATATGATTGATTTGGCGAATAAAAAAGAAAACTCTCTAAAACTTTTGTTTTTTTTTTTTTTTTTTTTTTTTTTTTTTAAGAATTAGTATTAAGCGTAATTGATTAATAAACACTCTTTTTAATTATTTTGAAATATTATAAAATAAACTGAGTAAAAGCAAATATTTGTTTATATTATTCAAATAAAAATGTATAATTAATTAAATATGTCTCCTCGTTTTTCTTTTTCAATGCTTCTTTAATTCTTTATTTTATCAGCTTTCTCTTTCTAATTTGCAACTGAATTATTTATAACTATTAATCATAACCAAAGCTTCTTTCAATTTTCTAACATAAATTAAATGGCAAAAAGTTATATTGAAGTTTTTCGAAATTTCTTCTATCAAAAACTTACATTAGAAAAATTTGAGCAGCTGACTTCCTTACCTACTTTTTTCCTACTGATTTACTTGCCGATTCTTTTTCTGTTCTTCTTGCTGATTAGTTTAATAATCAAAATGGCGCAACAACTACCTGATCTGTTAGAAAACATGTGCAGTGGAAATTATATAATAAATGCTAAAATATAAATGGCTGGAGTGAATTGAAATTGATGCAGTCTTTCTTTTTTGTTTGCATCAACAAAATTAGAGCATGTATTGTATGAAATGAAAGGCAGTATATTTATTTATTTGATTAATGAAATTGAAAGAAAGAAAAAAAGAAGTGAAAATGGCACAAGAGATGATGGCACATGCTATATTACATGAGAGTAATATATTTTCGTGTAAATTCATAAGTAAAAATGAAATGATAATCAAAATTTCTCTTTAAAGAAAAAAGAAGAGAATGATATCTTCTTATTTACCCATTTATTTAATGTTTATACAGCTCATATCACTAATAAAATTAGATAATTCCGATATATATCGGTACAAACGAATCAAAATACCTGCTTGAGTAATCGACTTATAAATGCGTGAAAAGGAAGTAATTAGAGGCTACAATGATATATTACTGTATAATATAATGGCAATAATAAGTAATTAGCTTGGAACAATAAAAATTGGTGAGCTTTAATGAGATTTATTGACTTCATATAAAATTTTTTAGAGATTTTCAGACTCCAGTTTTATTTTAAATCATATTTTATTTCAAACAAGCTTTTATTTGTGAGTGATATGAGTGATACTTTTACATATTAGCATAAAAATTTTTCACCTTCCATAAGTTATAGTTAAATTTCCTGATTAAACACTGCGAAAACTAGCAGCATGACAAGAATATTATTATAAGATTTAATCTAACTTTTATAAAAAACTTTAACAAATTTTGAAGTCAGCAAGAATGAGTAGGATTTTCCTTGTATTATTACATAATTGATACAAATAACAAATATCTCAAAAAATGACCTGACCTCTCAACTTAGGTAAAGCAAGGAGGACATCGATTGTTGTCTCATTGAATACAGCTGAACTTATAGTTAAAACGATATGTTTAAGTAATTACTTTTAAAGGGATCATTTGTGGAAATTGCACCTTGTCGTAACCTTTCCAAAAAATTAAAATTTTTTAAATTCTTAAAAAAAAAAAAAGATTTAAATTTTTATGTGTAATAGAAATTTCATAACTTAATACTTAGTTTTTTCATCATATTTCAGTTTAATTCAATGAAATTTGATAAATTCGACAACAAAAAAAAAAAAAAGTGAACTATAAATTTTGAATAATGCATATCACACAGATCATATTATGTAATAAATATACATGAGAACACTTGGAGAAAGAAAAAAATAAATGAAATTAAGAATGAACCCGGCAATAATATCCCGTTTCTTTCATGTTTTGCATATTTTTCCAAAGAAAAAAACTGGAATGAACATCATTTTTTTCTTTGATTTTTAAAATCTTTCCGGTAGTGAAGAAATTATTCCGGTAAATGCGTTATTTCGTCTAGTTAAACTGACCATTGTTGTTTCACTTGGGATCGTTAAAGTTGAACTTGGTGGCGTAAGTGATAGCATACTGTTACTCTCGCATTTCATCACTTTGCAACATTGCTTATCAGCATGACAGGTAATAAAAGTTTTTAGTGTATACAATGATTTTGCTTGCAAAATTACCAATATTCCACCATAAACTAAACTTGTAACACCTGAAATTCCTTAACGCTAATCAATAATACTATCATTTAGCACCGCAATTTCATTATAATAGTTCTGTAACCATTATCATAACCATTTTCCAATATTGTATTTAATTCAAATAGCAAAAATTTTAGAATACTAATATTAACATAAAATTTCATGCTTTCTTGCACTGTTATAAATTTAAAATTTTCCAACTTTTTTAAAAATTTTCTAATTTGAAATTTGGAAAATGGTTACTTTTAGATTGCACACTAGAAAACTGGAACAATGAAAGGAATAAGATAGATACTAACCGGCAGCTAATGTTGTATAAAAGCAAGTCGAGAGGCGGAAGTCGAGAATTGATATTGACCCATCTGGTGATGGAAATCTTATTTGAAGATTTTTCGGCACAAAAATAAAATAGACGAAATCAGCTGATAGAATTAATATGCCAACAATGACAACTAATTTAGCGAAATTGTGTGGTACCAAGCATAACATTAAAACTTGGATAATCCAAAAAGCAAATGCAGTCCTGAATCAAAGAAATTGTATAAATCATGAAGTGAAATGCTTATAATTTGTACAGTTAGTTAATTTAAGCTGTATCTATTGTTATTTATTTAATCAGTTTAAATTGGTACCATCGTAGTGCTGGCATTTTTGCTAAGTGCTTAATTTTTTATCATAAAATTGCAAGAATGAAAGAAGAAAAATTCCTATAATTTGTCAATTTTAAATGAAATAATGAAATTTGAAATGAAACTGAAGTGACAAATCGTCTATTATATTACTTGTTATATTTTACTCCTTCAGATTTTTGTTAGATTATAATTAGCTGCAAAAAATTAGTCGAACCTTGAATTAATACAGCTCTTTTTTAAAAGAAAATTTATTTTTTCCATTTCTTAAAAGAAGTGGAAAAGACATTTCTGTATTGCCATATAAATATATCTTAGTTCAAATAATTTTATAAAAATTAAAATTGATCAGTTTTTTTGCTTCAAAAAGTACTGCAAATTTCCATGCCTCTACTAAAACTATCATAAATAATGTTTAATTTGAAACGAAATCAATTAGCTTATTCTTTAGTATTATGAACTTTTAAAAAATAATTAAAAACCCTTTTAATAAACAAATAGTTATTACTACTACGTCATTTTCTCTGCGTGTAGCTTTCTTATAATTTCTTATAATTAAATGTTTTTAAGCTATAAATGTTATGATAAAAGAATAAATTATTTTTAATTAATATATTCAATGCAAATTTAAATTAATATACTTAAATTATCGAATATGCTAATGAGTGCTTGAGCAATTAATCACCAACTATTCGCTATTAAAATAATCTGGGATGACTTAACTTTGATCTCATTTTTTTTCTTCAAAATTAATATTTAAAACTTCTATAAGAAGTTTATGAATAAACCCTACCATAGTAAATATATGGTATAATGGCCAGTAAGACGATATTGTCTCCCCCAAATAAATCCCGCTCGATCCACACTTAAATATTCGATTACTTTCAAAATTGGATATGGTAAACCTTTCTTTAAACTTTTCTCTAATTCCATTTCCATCGACAATACTGCAAAAAAAAAAATTTCTTTTTTCAATAGTGTGTTTACAAATTTTTGATATACATTTTCTTAAATACGCATTTGTAACTGACTAATGAAAATAGATCGATTTTATAATTTCTGCATCTAAACCGATTATAATATTCATTCATCATTTTTAGATTTTCATGTATTCCGAAAATAGGGTGATAATGAAAATTTCTAAAAATAAATGAAGCTTAGTTTTTTTTGTGAATAAAACAAAAGTTATTCCGAAATTTGAAATCAAACTTGAAAAACATAAATTATTTTTTTGGCTTTTTTAGTAGGTTGAATAGATTTCTTAAGTCTGTTTTGTGGAATTTGCTGGAAGCTATTTCTATTATACTTTTATTAACAGTGATAAAAGAAACAAGTTCAAAATGCTCTTAATTTTAATGAAAATTTTTTTTGAGTAAATAATAAACCATTTAGAAATTCAAAGCGTTCATTGTATTTCAAATCATCCAATGACTTGTGTTCTTTTTCAGACGTTGGCACACCTGAAGAAAAAAAATAAGGCTAATCTTTGTTGATTAATTCCAAAGGTTCATTTTTTCTTTTTAACGTTTCAAATGCTTAATAAAGTAATTTTAGTAAAGAAAATAGAGTAATTAATGACTGATTTTGTTATAAGCAATTTTAAAATGTTATTTTTAATCAAATATAAAACGATAATAAGTCAAAAATATTATGAAATAATTTCTAATTATCAAAAGCTTTTAAAGATAAAATCAGGAACTTTTGATACAATCTTAAATAGTTTCAAAAAAAATAATAATAATAGAAATTTTTGGGAAATTGCAAAATATACTTGTAAGGGTGACATTAAGGTGTTTGAGGCCCATACGTACACCAAGGATAGCATTCAATTTATCGGTTGTAAATGCTCGATAAGGTGAACAAATTCGAATGCTTCCCTGATGCCAACTTGGATGATGAATACTTACTAAAATTCAAAAAAAAAAAAAAAAAAAATTTAAATTAACTTGAAAAAAATTCCAAAAAATAAAATTAAATAATCATGTTTCAACTTATCTTCAAGCTACTATTGCTAGCTTAATTATAATTCATTAAAACCATTCCTTATTTGACTTATAAATATATATATTTTAGTCTTAAAAACATTGTGCCAAATTAGATGTAAAAGCCAGAAAAACAATTGAAAATGTTAAGCGATGTTAGTTTATATCATTTTATAACCATTTAAAATTTGAAATTAATTTTGTTTATTGGTCAACTTGAAGTTATCACTAAATGGCTCGAAACTTTGAAGTAAATTTACCATATAATATTTTAATACTTTCCAGTTGCGATAATATCCTTATATTGCCGTTGTTATAAGAGAAATTCGAAATTTATCATTTTTTTTTTCTCTCGAGATTAGGTATAAAAAATGAAAATAAATAAAACAAAATGCAATTATCGTTTTGTTACCTTCTCTTCAATTCATAAAAAAAAGAATGATTTACAAGAATTAGATATTATGAAAAGAATTAACAGTTGATTTATTCCTTAATCAGTGATTATTCTCTGATAGAAGGATATGTTATCAAATTCCGTATGAAATAGCAAATATGAACAGGTTCAGTAAACAAATAATTTAATAATTGTAGATAAACAATATGTTAATTGCCATAAATTGCTATAATATTGCTATCAGATAAGAGATGTTTGTAATCAATGTGTATATAAATGTATATGACGATTTAAAATTTTTGAAAATTTTTTTGAAAAACATGATAGGATTTCAGAATTTTAAAAAAAAGGAGCAAAAAAAAATAAATTTTATTAGTTTACAATTAATATATCAAAAATTGTTAATTTTATTGATCATTTAATTCAGTAATTATATGAATGAAATTGACGGAAAAAGGAAAATTTTTCTAACAAACGACAAAATACAAAAAATTACCATAAAGTATATTTATGATTCAAATATAGAAATATTGAATTGAAGTTTTATATTTCTAAACAAATTATTTACTTTTTTGACAAATTCGCACTCATATACCATAATGCTATTTCGTGATATTGTAAAATAATTATTAATGCAGAATTTCGTTAGATGAAATTCTCCTACTGAAACAAAAATTGAAGTTTATTGTAGACCATTAAAATTTTTAATTACATTTTCTTTTTAATTAATTAATTTATTTATTTGTATTTCTTCAAAATTTTTATTAAAATCATGTAAATGAAGAATAGGAAAAAGAAAAAAGAACATACTTTTCAGTTTTTCTTTATTTATATAAAAATTAATAACTTTAACATAAAAAATATTCGATTTGTATCAAGAATCCTGCATTTTTACTTTAAGTCACACTGCAATGATTAAATTAAGATTTAAATTTAGAAGAAAAAGTGCAACCACATTTATTGAAATTGAAATGTAAATATTAAACTTAATAGTATCCAAAAGGTTCATTTCATTTTAATTAATTATTTCATTTCTTTTCTTTATCACTAATTAGTAAATGAAATGCAAAAAATAGTTTTTTTGAATTTTTAATTAAATTATGTAAATCAATTAATTGTTGTTTGAAAAACGGAATCTCAAAAAAAAGTTAAGATATAAAGGGGGGCTGAAAGAATGGCTATGATATCATATGGATATCATTTCGTCCCATTGTAGTTTTATTTTAATTAAAGGTTAATTATCCAACTATTAGTGCAACTTTTAACTAATCATAGAAATGGTTAGTTGAATTTTAATTTTTTTTTAATTAAAAATGCTTTGGTGACTATAAAAATAATTGAAATCGTTTTGTCATATCTTTTTCCTCACATTATTTAATAATGGTATGATTAAAATGATGAGTAGATTTTCCGTTTAAAACAAGATTTCAGTGGATAAAGACGAATGGACCAAAATGTTTATCACATTTGGAAATCTCATCATTTCTAAAGGTCTCAGATTTTGCTGAAATATTCCTCATATTTTATATCATTTTATTCCATTTCATCAATTATTTTAAAATGTACCAAAGGATAAGAAATGAATTATTTCTGCAACAAAATTCATAAACTTTTTTTTTATTTCTAAATTTAATGTTTTGGTAATTTTATTAGCTTAAAATTGATGAAACAAAACTGATGAATCATATTTTTTTCTACAATACCTGCAATGAGAAATATGTATTTTATAGACGAAATGGTAGTAATAACTTGTGAGTACGATCATGAATTTCACTATGTCTTATCACTTATTGTATTATCATTAATTTGATCCATTGTATCTTATTAGCTAGATTATTTTATCACTATTAATTTTGTTTAATTTAATGATATGAGACTAAAGATATATGCATCCATTTCTTTGATTAATTAATATGAACTGAATACTAATAAAGCATATGTTGCTTATAAATATATCACTAAAAGAAGAAAAAAAGAAGGGAAAATGAAATACATAGCTTTGATCAATTAGATGAACTATATTACATATTAGCATCATATTAACATTATACCGTTACTATATGAAATTATTTGTTATAATTAATTTAATTCAAGTATCACAGTTTTATACTACTTACTATATTATGTTTTTTTTTTTTTTTATCTCATTTCTATCAAACAGAAACAATCTAAAAAATCTTTCCATGTGATCGTAATAAAATGATTATTTTGTTAATGAAAAAATAGATTTAAACTTACTTAAGATAATTGCGCCAACAGTAACACTCAACATGAATGCGATCGTTGATGCGATACGATAATATCGCACACCGGGAAGAATAATTAGAAAGGCTATAAATGGTATAATAAATATTGATGCTAAAGCAAAAATTTGTAAATCGAATACCACAGGCGTTCGATTTTCACCAAACCATGTTGGATCGCCATTTTCCCGAAATGCATCAAACCAACCAATTCGATGCATAATTATTTTGATTGGCTGCTAAAAATATTAGGTGGAAAAAAGAAAAACAACAATAAATAGTAATAGCAAATAATACGAACTGTAGTATAACAATAACAACAATATTATTAATACGAATAGAAAGAAAAGTAAGAAACAAATTTTAAAAATAGAGCAAAATCAATGAACGAACAAATGGGTTTTATTGTTCGATGTAGACTGGTTGATTACTCATTTGATCGATTAGTTATTTTATTTGTTCCAACCATTAAAATATTCATTTATGTTAATTGTTAGAGCATTGCATGCAATTGCGATGACTGCAACACTACCATTTTTAGCAGTCGAATAATTATTATCTGATACAAATGGAAATTAAATGAATACTACAAAAATTTTAGTAGTATTGAAACAATAATAAATAATAATGATAAAAATAATAATAATAAAGGCAACAACAAAATTGTTGAAACATTAACAGATTGTGGAAAGAAATTGATTGATAAATGAAATTGTATTATTTCGAATTATTAAATGCTAAAATTATAAATGAAAGTTTGTAAGTTAGTAAAATGTGTATAAAATTAATAAAATAATATGTGTGAAATATGTTTGATAAATGTTCGTTTAATCTTATTTCAATTTGTTTTTTATCTTCTATCACTTTCATTATTTCATTTCTTTTTTATATCATTTAAATAAATTTATTAATAAGTGCTTTAGTAACGATAATTAATGAATTGTATTTCAAAGAGGAACCAGTGATAGCGGTAATGAATGCACTAATTCGCCAGAGCAAAAATTTTTGCTCGTTTTTGTTTAATTTAATTAAAATATGAATAAAATATTGAAATGATCTTTCATTTTTTTGGTATATAGAATATTAAACTGTTAGAAGGTTAACTTTTTCAACTTTTAAATTCATATTTCTCTAAAAATTTTCATATTTTAAGTGCAAAAAAAATTTCTCTTTTTTGATTTTTTTTCCTTTTTTAATTCATTTGAATATAGCATCTATTTCATGCTTAATTTTAATGAAATTAGTTTTTTGCAAAAACTAATGGAATATAACTTTGAAATAATCATTAAAGGAAAAATAAAAAAGATTTAGAAATAGTAAGAGACAAGACGGAAGTGAAATGAAATGAAATGAAAACATCGGAGGCAGAAATATTATCGCCAAAAATAAATTTAATAAATCCTTCTGATCATAAAAAAGGAAAAAAAAAAGTTCATTCGTTGATTTCATCTTTTCGTCTCTCATCATTTTAATATAAAAATGAAATCAATTATTCATTTAAAAAAAAACAAAGTTTCGGGCATCTAAATTAACGAAACAGGAAAAATTTTAATTAGTATTACTTCCACGAATTAAGAAAGAATGTGAACAGGATTGAAATAAATTTTTTCTTTCCCTTTTTTTGAATTAAAAAAAATTCTTTTTTTCTAGAAGAAAGATTTGAAAAAATTAGTCGTATATTATCAAGAATTTTTAAATTCAGTTAAATTCAATAATGATAATAACAAAAAGATTTTTAAAAATTTTTTTCAAAATTTTTTTAAACTCCATAATTTTTTTGGGGTTAAAAATTAAAATTTTTTTTAGAATTTAAAGAAAAAAAGTTTTCTTTTAAAAATAATTATGTGAATTATTATTGCTGTTAGAAACTTTTATGTGTGTTTTGCTAACAAAGATTCGTTTAAAGTTACCTTAGAAAATCTTATTAATTAATCTAAAAATAATATCAAAATATGCATAAAAGGGCATTTGCAATTCACCGAAACAACAAATGTGACAAGTTTGGATGTGACACATAAAAATACACTCAGACACATGCAAACATGCACAGACACTAATTCTTTTGAATCATACATTTTTCTAAAGACAAACTTTTGACGTCAATTGAAACCAGAATTTTTGAGAAAAAAATGAAGAAAAAATTCGAAAAAATGAAAGAAACTCGTCAAAATCGAGTTACTCTCGTTTACCATTTCATGAATTAAAAATCATTTTATTTGTTAAATTACTTAATTGAGTGTACAGTTCAACAAATATTTCTTGCACCTTAAATCTACGAATAGAAATATGCTCAAGAAATATTCATTTCATTTACTGCAAAGCATAAGTAATAATGTTTAAGCAGTTGCAATCATTTAATTCGGATCTTATAACTGAATTAAGTATTGAATTAGAAATCTTTAATTTTCGTTTTTTTTTTTTCTCTTTTTTAACTTCTTAAGCAAAAATTGTGTTATCACTAAGAATGTTCTCTGGCTGTTTTGTCTTTCTCATCTGACATTTAATATTTCCATTTATAAATGTAATTGAATTGTTTCAAAAGTACAACTAATAAAATATTTGTTTATTTGATTTTTAGTCGAGTTGCATTATCAATAAACAAAGCTTAAATATATTGCACAATTATGTTAGTACGGAGAAAAATTATTTCAAATGACTGATTTAATGATAAATAAGCAAATAGCAGTGATATTAAGCTAATATGATTAACATATTAAACAGAATTGCATTGTTTTTAATAAGAATGCAATGCAGAATTGTAAAAAAATCAACATTTCAAAAAAATTACGAAATTTTTTTGTTAAATGACAGTTATTTCATTTTCAATTTGTTTGGAAACCAATACCAATGTAAGAGGTTCTCGATGTTATCGGAATTTATGCATCTATTGTACGTGTATGCATATAATTACTGCTGCTTAGAAAAAAAAAAAAAACAATTATTTGCAAAATTTTTAAAAAGAAAACCGGTTCTGACCGGATAGGTGAATGAAACAGAGAAAGGATTAAGTAGGTAATTTGAGCAATTTGAACAGTTCCATAGCATTCAATTTGAAGAATTGATTATAATGAAAAAGAATGTGTAAAATGAATTCTTGAAAATTAAATTTTCAAGGTCATTAAATGCATAAAATATTTTTAAGGAATGATCTATTTACTTGTTGATGCTATTGAAAATTGCACATCGTTTTGAAGAACATTGCATTGACATTTTAATTAGTTAAAAAAATCAACAAATTTTAAGCTTTCTTTTCACAACTTTTTTCTTATGCCAATTTTGCAATTTGCAACATTTCTTGCGATGTTTTTTACTGCCGTTGAATTCTAATTAAATTCGAAATTAGATTTCAGATTAAAATTTCTAGATGCCAAAATTTTCATTAACTGCTTAAGCAATGTAATCGAATAGAATAAGCAGTTAATCAAATTTCGTAAAATTATTGTTGAATTACACGATTATTTTCAAAAAACAAAACAATACTGCAAACAATAAACTGCCATAAATTTCCTAAACAATTTGGCAAAGTCTTCTAACCGGCTGAATTTCATCTGTTGATTTCAAATCTTTAATGGCATGGAAATGAAATGAACTGCAAATCTGACCTTTAAAAAGAATAACAGCAATTGAAACATTTGACTTATCCTTCTCAATATCAAACTATAGTAATGATATATGTGATGTATAGGCCTTGTATAATTAGCATTAGTCCATATGTAATTATTAATTTAAACGAATTAAAGAACTGAATTGTTATAAATCAATAATCCATTCAAAATTCCTACTTACATTTTTCATTACTTGTTTGTTTTTCCATTTGTTCTAAATTTTTATTTAACGAACGAAAATTCACAAGTATACAAGTAATTCATTATTCGTTGCACTTTATATTTGTTTCAGAAATTCTAGTAAAAAAAATGCAATTTGACTTTTTTCTTCTTTTTAAACAAAATACGTTTAAATGAAATATGCAAGAAAAGAAAAAAAAAGCAACGGTAAAATTACAAAAACATAATAAAGTGGAATTGTAGTCTATTTCACAAATGGCTTATTTCATTTGTTTTCCGTTTACTTTTCACCGAATAAATTTTAGGCAAGTGATTAAATGCTTGTGTAGTTGATTTAGACGTGTGAAGTGATTGAATTAATCTTTGTTATAATCTACTTTATCACTAAAGTTGATTTACTATGACGTTTTAGAGCATAATTTTTCAAGTCACATATGCAAATTCGGAATTTCTACTTTTTAACCATATTTATCAATTTTACCGTTGTTATTGGTATGAATAAGAAGTAGAGCAAAGAAAGAGAAATAGGTTAATCAATTATTTGTATTGTATATCAAAATTTATTTAAAATTTGAATGGATATTTGACTTTTTTCGTCAGTTATATCCAAAAATATTATTATGTGTACTGGTCTACAATATTGATAATTACACCTAACTAAACATTATTTTTAAATAAACAAAATTAAATGCAATAAAACCTTATTAATATATCTCATGTGAAAAAAAAAATCATTGGGTTATATTGATGAAAAATAATTTATTAATGTGGGAAAATTAATTTTTGCGTGCAGAGGAAGTAATATTTTGCAATGAAATTAAAGTTCAACAATGTTTGCACTTATCTTTACGGCTTTAAATACAGTTAAATTGTTGTTTTTTTCTTTGAAAAGGATAAATTAAATTGTTTGTTTAAATTAAAATAACTGAGTGTAGTAGATAATTTCAAATATTATAATGATCTCAAATAATGAATTAGTAACTAAGTTCTCTTTTTTTTTATTAACATTTAAAATATAATTTTTTATTACCATTTAAAATATGTATTAATTAAAGTGAAATATATTTTAAATGTATTTCACTTCAATTAAAAGCCTTTCAAATAATTGAATTATTAATCTCAAAGTCCAATTTTTGCGTAATGAAAGAAATATTTAAAAAATGATTGAGTTTCAGAGTTTTAAATAAATTTCAACAATAATTTTCTCGGATTATAATTAATAATTTAGTTGTCTTATAAAGATTAAAAATTACAGATAAAAACAGAAAGAATAAATGAAAAAACTATTTAACCACTTTCAAAAAAAAGTACCGCAGCCTTAATGATACATTGTCATCTATTTATTATTACTACTATTATTATCATTATCATTATTATTATTATTAAAATTTTTTTTTTATATTGCTGTTAACAAGCCATATTCTCTGCCTTCACTT